AAGTAGTGTATGCAACTACTATGTTTGGTACAAATATATTGGGATATTTTTTATAACTTATGAATGAAACTATTTAAATAAAGGTTACGATGATTTGTACAAATGTATTTGAATTATTTTTGAAGTAGTGTATGCAACTGCTATGTTTGGTACAAATATATTGGGATGTTTTTTATAACTTATGAATGAAACTATTTAAATAAAGGTTGGGATGATTTGTACAAATGTATTTGAATTATTTTTGAAGTAGTGTATGCAACTACTATATTTGGTACAAATATATTGGGATATTTTTTATAACTTATGAATGAAACTATTTAAATAAAGGTTAGGATGATTTGTACAAATGTATTTAAATTATTTTTGAAGTAGTATATGGAACTGCTATATTTGGTACAAATATATATATTGGGGTTTTTTTATAACTTATGAATGAAACTATTTAAATAAAGGTTGGGATGATTTGTACAAATATATTTGAATTATTTTTGAAGTAGTGTATACAAATGCTATGTTTTACAAATATATTGGGACGTTATTTATAACTTATGAATGAAACTATCTAAATAGAGGTTGGGATGATTTATACAAATGTATTTGAATTATTTTTGAAGTAGCGTATGCAACTGCTATATTTGGTACAAATATATTGAGATGTTATTTATAACTTATAAATGAAACTATCTAAATAAAGGTTGAGATGATTTGTACAAATATATTTGAATTATTTTTGAAGTAGTGTATACAACTGCTATGTTCCGTACAAATATATTGGAATGTTATTTATAACTTATGAATGAAACTATGTAAATAAAGGTTGGAATGATTTTTACAAATATATTTGAATTATTTTTGAAGTAGTGTATGCAACTGCTATATTCCATACGAATATATTGGGATGTTATTTATAACTTATGAATGAAACTATTTAAATAAAAGTTGGGATGATTTGTACAAATTTATTTGAATTATTTTTGAAATAGTGTATGCAATTGCTATGTTCCGTACGAATATATTGGGATGTTATTTAACTTATGAATGAATTTATTTAAATAAAGGTTGAGATGATTTGTATAAATGTATTTGAATTATTTTTAAAGTAGTGTATGCAACTGCTATGTTTGGTACAAATATATTGGGATGTTATTTATAACTTATGAATGAAACTATTTAAATAAAGGTTGTGATGATTTGTACAAATTTATTTGAATTAGTTTGAAGTAGTGTATGCAACTGTTATATTTGGTACAAATATATTGAGATTTTATTTATAACTTATGAATGAAATTATTTAAATAAAGGTTAGGATGATTTTTACAAATGTATTTGAATTATTTTTGAAGTAGTGTATGTAACTGTTATGTTCCATATGAATATATTGGGATGTTATTTATAACTTATGAATGAAAATATTTTAGTAAAGGTTGGGATGATTTGTACAAATATATTTGCAAAAAGAATATAAGTCCTAGAAAAATTGGAACAACGTTTAAAAAACACTTGAATTATTTTTGTAGTGTGGATGCAACTACTTTATTCGATACAAATTTATTGGGATTTTATGTATAACTTAGGCATGCAACTATTAAATTATAGGTTTAGATCATTTGTACAAATATATTTGTATCAGCCTATATAAGTTAAAAAGGTTATGTTGTAAAACAATTTTACTTGAATTGATGAGTTGACTTAAAAGGAATCATTAAAATTAGGAGCAATAAACGGTACTATATGCCAAATGCATTGTGTTAATACGTCAATGCATTGCCTCATTTTAACTAGGTCAGTCACCTGCATTTAATCATCAAAAGAAAATATTTAATTTCAATACATACATAATACACAAAATTATCAAAAGTTGGTCAACCACTACATTTTCAGATATACCAAAATGTACGCACCATATAAAACAACTCGCGTAAATTCCAAAAGGCTACAAGTATGCAAACGTAAATGAACAACATCATAAAATTAAAGTCAAATACATATTGAAATGACTGTCAAGAATCAAAGAGTCGTTGTTGAATTGGTCAGCCTATCTCCGAAATTGGCATGTGGGACGTTGGGGTGCCAGTCGATTGATAATTGTTTATATCTGGTATCTTTGAATATGATGATGGGACAAAATGCAATCCAATTTACATCTAGAGTCATTCTTAAATGCATGTTCCACCTTAATAGCACACTTGCCTGGTTAGTTAATGGAGTATTTAGTTCATCACCATTAATATTGCACGTGGTGGTGGCGTCACATATTAAAATCTTATAGTTGCAACAATACTGACATTAACGAATAGGTGGTAGGGGATTGTTCAACTTTGACTACCACTTGCCTCTCCGGATACAAGGGCTTCAGTGAAATTCTGCAACATAATAATGAGATTTATTACGTGTGCATAATTTAATAGACAAATGGTATTACTTATGAAACTACATGGAAAACGGTAAGAGGAGAAAAGTACCTCAACCTGAACTGTTCCTTTCGTTGAGTTCATCTTATTGTGAATCTTTAGCTCCATGGTTGGTTTCAACCTCTTACATTTTCATTTACATGTAACTTTACAATTGAGGCTATTGGGGATTTTGTCAGTGCTTTTATTGTTCCCCAATTTTGTCTTTACCACAACTATAAATTGCACTTATGTCAACAAATTTACGACTACAGTTTTTGGCCCATTAAGATTATTAAACAAACACAATGTATCAAGAATCCAAGGCCCTCAAATTCAAACCAAAGTCAATCCATTTTCTATAACACTAGGATAAGACTACAGAAAAAATTGAAGTCAATGAATATATTTAATTTCATACAATAATGTGACAGTTTATTATTTTTTTTTTTTTAACTTTTTCCAACTGAGGCATGAATTTCAAATCTTTTTTGGGGGTAGTATTTTCTTAAATATTAAAACTATGTTAAGTTACTGCTAATTACTACGACCACTCATAATTCTCAATTACCATTACAAATAATATGAAACAAAAACATATGGTCCATTCTGTATAACAAAGTATATCCCAACTCTTTTCTAGTATGTATCAGCAATTAAATTTGAACAATTTTTCGTCCTTTTATTAATTATCAACTATATACTGATACTTAAAAATATAGGACTTGGATCCTCTAAGTTAAAGATTATCTAAGTTATAGTAAGTTGAATTCCCTATAGAATGACACGTAACATTAAAAACATATCTACGGCTGGTGTTAAACTACGTCAACTAATTTAAATAAATTTTGAAAACTGTACTGTTTTCAAAGAAGAAAAATTTACCAAAGTTTAAAAACTGCACTGTTTTGAATTAAAGAAAATTTACCATACTCTAACGATATTTAACATCGTTATATCTCCCTTATCTTTTCCAAAAAAAGATACTCCCTCTCTCTCCTCTTTATTCAAAAAAAAAATCTTAATACAATATGTAGAATGATGACAATACAAATGCATGATATCTTGATCTATGTTACTGCTCCAAAATACTGTTTGTAGTGATATTAACCATGCCTATGGTTGAGTTGAATTATGCTTTAACGAATCCATTACCTTTTTATTGTTTTACCCAAATCAAAAATAAAATGATAAAAAAATCTAAAATCTCAAACAATTCTTTGGAATAGGGGTTGTGTAAGTACCAACAAGGAAAAAAAAATTCTAAAATTTGTTACTATTTAAAAGCGACTTGTTGCAAATATGAAGAAAGAGGAGAGAGAGGGATGATCTTTTTTTGGAAAAGATGAGGAAGAAATAACGATGTTAAACGTCATTAGAGTATATTAAATTTTCCTTAATTCAAAATAGTACAATTTTTAAACTTTGATAAATTTTCCTTATTTCAAAACGATGCAGTTTTCAAAATTTCTTTAAATTAATTGATGTGGTTTAACACTAACAGTGGATAAGTTTTTAATGTTACGTGTCATTCGATAGGAAATTCAACTTACGATAACTTAGAGAATCTTTAACTTAGAGGATCCAAGTCTAAAAATATAAGTTTTGCAATATGCAATATTAAATAAGAACAATAATTATGCAATATATGCTTCCAACATTAAAAAGGGCTGAAAATTTTTCTTCAAAATACAATACTAAATAATCAGTACAATGATAAATGCAATATTTATTTCTAACATTAATTAAGGTTCAGAATTAAATAAAAAGGAACCAATTTTTTTTTTACAAAATACGAATCCAAATAATCATAAGAACAATAAATGCAATATTTGTCTCCAACATTAATTAGGATTCAGATACCATACAACATATATAACATTTAATAGTGGTTCAGATCAGAAATAAACTTATAAATACATTTAAAAAAAAAAAAAAACCCTAATATATTGGAAATGGCTTTACAATATTGAAAATAGGTAAGTCTTTATCTTTGTAAGCCCAAATAATTTATACTGGACACTTTTGCAGTCTTTCTCTTCTCTCTCTTCCTTCTTATAACTTTCCTTTTCCAGCCATTCATGTACCTGAGAATTCACAGCATAAACCAGTTGCTCTGTTTCTTTGGAAACAATTATCTATGGAAGTAAAAAACAGAAAGAACAAATTTTAGGAAAGAGACGAGACTTCTCTCTTGTTTTGGTAACAAATAAAAATCTGATTTTATTTTGGACTTTGGGAGAAGAAGATACAATAAAGGACGGGCTTTTCAAATTTCAATTTTCAAATTGGCTGCAACACTGTTCTGATATGCGTATATATTATGTGTATAATCCATATATATTATGTATATAATTTATATTTTTATAAATACAGATTTTAATTTTTTTTATTTTATTACTGTCGTGAAAACAGATCAGAACAGGAGCACTGTTCCTCTTCTGTACCAACGGATAGGATTTTGGTCCGTTGGTACATATTGATCTATTCTCTGTTTACGGTGTACAATGGTCAGCTACCTTGTACCATGCCTATGTTTCCCAACCCCTATAAATACTAGGCCTTTCATTCACACCAAGCCATCGATCTATTCTCTGTTTACGGTGCTCAATGGTCAGCTACCTTGTACCATGCTATGTTTCCCAACCCCTATAAATACTAGACCTTTCATTCACACCAAGCCATCACACCTACAATATCATATCTTCTGATTTCACATCATTCTCTCTCTAAAATATTAAGCCATGGCACTTGAGCAACCCTAGTTGAAAAACACTCGTCCTGACCCAAACATGGATCTTCTCCATGTCCAGGCCATCAGCCTTCAAACAATAAGCAGCGCTCATGATTCCGATGACACCAGCTTTCAATCGTTTCGGATACTCGAAAACGATGTGCCCAGTGGCCCTCCCCAGCAGAAACTAGCATGGTTAAGGTCTCAAGTCATCGGCAGTGATGTGGAGTTCGACACTCCTTTCGGAAAACGTCGGCTTACCTATGCCGACTACACTGCCTCTGGCCGATGCCTTCAGTACATTGAGAACTACATCATTAACAATGTTCTTCCAGCTTATGGTGTGTACATAGTTATTTTTTAATATTAAATGTTTAAGTTTGTATCTCTGGCTATTGTTATTTTTTATAAACAATAATTTTTTCATTTGTGTGAATAGGCAATACTCATACAAGTGACAGTTATGTGGGCCATGAAACTACAAAAATTGTGCATGATGCAAGTAAGTATGTGAAGTCTTGCTTAGGGGGCAAAGAAGAAGATGCAATCCTGTTTGTTGGCTCCGGCACAACGGCAGCCATTAAACGGCTTCAAGAGGTTATGGGACTTGCTGTTGCATCAACTATGAAGGACAGGGTGTTGACGAGCCTTAGGGATGAAGAAAGATGGATTGTTTTTGTTGGGCCATATGAGCACCACTCCAACCTCCTCTCGTGGCGCCAAAGCTTAGCAGAAGTTGTAGAGATCGGTCTAGATGGAAATGGACTAATTGACATTGAAGCTTTAAGGCAACAACTCGAGTTGTACCAGCACACAAATCGCCCTATGTTGGGTTCTTTCTCAGCTTGCAGTAATGTCACCGGAATTTACACTGACACACGTTCCGTTACTTCACTCCTTCATCGATATGGTGCTTTTGCATGTTTTGATTTTGCTGCAAGGTACAGAAAAAGTTTGTTTGAGTTCTTAGTTTCTCAAGGAAATAGTATTATTGATCAATTTATAACATGCATGCCTAATTTGCTCTAAATCTTATATGTGCAGTGGTCCTTATGAAGAGATTGACATGAGATCTGGCGAGGTAGATGGATATGATGCAATATTCCTTAGTCCACATAAATTTGTTGGGGGACCTGGTACCCCTGGAATTCTTCTAATGAGCAAGATCCTTTATCAATTAGGATCTTCACCTCCTTCAACATGTGGTGGAGGAACTGTCAGCTTTGTTAATGGATTCAATGAAAAGGTATTTAGTCATTACGAGTTCGATAAATTTGTGATACTCTTTATACAAATACGAGAGTTGCATATACTAAAAACTATAGTCTAGTCTATCTCCTCTACCTTCTACATAAATAAATAAATATGAGAGTCAAATATACATAGGGTGTGTTTGGAAAGAAAAAGAAAAAAACAATTTCTCTATCAAATCAAATTTGAGATGTTTGTCATATAAAATTAGCCTGTATGATTTAATGGTTCAGTCAATTACAAAATTTGCTAATATATTGACATATGGGTTACAGGATACTCTGTATTATGAAGATGTGGAAGAGAGAGAAGATGCCGGAACGCCAGCAATTATTCAGAAATTTAGAACTGCAATGGCTTTCTGGGTAAAAGAATACATTGGTTCTGAAGTGATCAAAATGCAGGAGCACAAATTCATAGATAGAGCGCTCGACAGGCTTCTTTCCAATCCAAACATCTGGGTTCTAGGAAACACTAGAGTGAAACGACAAGCTATCCTCTCCTTCCTTGTGTTCTCCACAACCAATTCCTCCGCTGACATGGAAAACAAGATCTTCATGGACGCTAGTGGGAGCAGAGATGGAGGAAATTCCTTGTGGAGGGAGTCCGGGAACACGAGAGACAAGCCCCTTAGCGGCCCTTTTGTTGCGAAGCTCCTTAATGACTTGTTTGGCATCCAGGCTCGTGGTGGGTGCGCTTGTGCTGGACCCTATGGTCACCATCTTCTCCATGTCAATGAGTCTCATTCACTCGCCTTCAAACATGCCATTCAAAAAGGTTACAATGGAGTGAAGCCGGGATGGACACGAATTAACTTTGCTTACCACATAACAGTAGAAGAGTACGAGTTCATTCTTGCTGCGTTGGAATTCGTAGCCATGTATGGCCAGAGGTTCCTCGTGCTCTACGACTTCAACTGGAAAACGGGCAATTGGACTTTCAAGAAGAAGGCATTCAAAGAGATTGAGGCGATCAAACAATGCAGACAAGAATTCAACAACTTGTTGATTAATCGCGCTCTGCAAGCAGCTAGTTTTGAAGACACTGAGATCATTGCTGACAACAACACCATTGAAATGATCCACAAGTATGTGTCTTATTTGGAGACTGCAAAAAGAATTGCTCACTTTCTCCCAAAGTTTCCTCCTCCTAGAAGGATTCCAAAAGAGATTGATATTAACCTCGTGCTGTTCCGAGTATAGATTTGGGGGCTTTTCTATGTTTTACAATAGTGTTGTAAACTGTTTAAGCTTTTGCATATTATAGTTTTGTATCGGAACGATAAATGAATAAGAAATCAACGCGAACATCTTGTTCCTTTTCTTTCCCACCGTTTTGTTGTGTTCTTTTTTTTTTTTATGGGTTACTCTTTTCCGTAAATAAAAATAAATTTTGGTAAATTTATTTTTATCATTCTTGGCCAAAAATAAAAAATCAGACTAATTAAGAATATCTTCAGCAGTACGTTAAAAAATCAGTATGTTAAAAGATTCTCGGTTTTTTAGGGACGTATCAGAGTCTTTCGACTCAAGGGGTTGGATAGTCAAATTTTCCTTGACACGGACCGAGTCTGAAATCGGCCCTTAGTGGATCAAACGATGTGGGAAGACAAAGATAATCCCTTCCTTTAGTTTCTTCAGTACCTCAATTAAGACGATTTTTTATAAAATAAAATAAGGGCTGGAATTAAATAAGGGAACAAAGCAAACTGTCCAAGAGTTCTTCAATTTCGAATTTTGGAATAAACAGAAGGACAAAGTGAACTATCCAGGAGTCCATCTAATCCAAGAATAACTTATAAAACAATAATGGATGAGACAACAAAATTCAAGCATTCATAATATTCTATAAGTAGTAATCTTATACAAAAGTACAAGAATAAGAGTTCTATTATAACACTACTCCTATGGAAAAAGAGAAGTAAAATTACATTGTAAGAAAATGCAGTAAAATGAAGAACTAGATTGTAATGAAATTGCAGATGTTATGGTGGGGACCTCTTGCTTGGATCATTTAAGCGTTATTTGTAAAGACTCATTCAAGCGGTTGAAAACAGTTACATACCTCTTGAATTCAAACTCTTTGTTTGAATTTGAATAAAAACTTGTCTAAAATTTATCCTTAAAGACACACATTAAACCATGCTGTTAATGGATTGACACATGTGAATTTTAGTCTTTAATTTTAAATAGGAGTCTTTTATGATAACAATATTAAATTATTATCACTAAAATGACGTATCTCTTCTTTCAATCAACTAATGACATATGGCTGAATTAATATTTTTTCCTCTAATCAACCAACACCATGTATCTGAATTAAAATTAAATTTATGGTGCAAACAAGTAGTATGTTAAGTTACATTGCAACCTAATTAATTGTGTAAAATTGTTGTGCATTTTGCATAATCTTTTAAACAGCCACATCAGCATCTTTTCTCTATACTCCCTTATTCTCATTCCATTAACAAATCAACACTGTAGTGAGTATGTTATTAAAAGTTATGTAAAGCATTGGGCATGACACCTATATAAATCTACTTTGACACATCATATTTACACAAAAAATAATATATATATATATATATATATATATATATATATATATATATATATATATATATATCTCTGATGGTTGTTTATATATATATATATATATATAAAAACAACCATCAGAGATACTCTAATGATCCAAATGCTCAAACACATCCACATCAATCTAAACTTTGATGATCACTAATTAAACCCTTTGGACCAAAAGATTTTTTGAATAAAGATTTTTTCCATATGTATATATAAAATAAAATAAAAATTAGTTAAGACTTTACTAATAACTCTTCTCTGGTTCTAGTAACTCTTCTCTGGTTCTAGTAACTCTTCTCTGGTTCTAGTGATTAAACTTCATTATGAAATTTTTTTTTTTTTCTTCGGTAAGTAACTTAATTATTAAATGACTTCAATTGGATAGTGTTTTACAAATATTGTGGAGAATGACCATATATTGAATTTCGTGAGTTCCAACATTAACCCACCTAAAATATCATTTTATTTACCTAAGGATATTTAATCACAAATGTTTGAATACTGGCATATCGTTACCGGAGGTAAGTGGTATTATCCACAAAAAAAATTAAAAAAAAAAAATTTCTTTTTCTTAAAAGAATGGAAATTCGACATCATCAGGTTTGGTAAAGAATGATACAATAAAATTTGTTGAACTTATTAGTCTCTTTTAGGAAAAAAATAAAATAAAATAAAATTTTAAACAGACAGATTGAAAGAAGAGGGAATTAACTTCTTAATGAATTTTACTTGCTTTGGTAAAAATGATTTTCTAAAGAAAAGAATTGCATTTTAAATGAAATCATTTGAAAATTGAATTTGTGATTGCAGAAGAATTAAAGGAAGCTAAAATTGCTTGGAAATGAAACACTTAACAAGGAATCTAAATAATAAGAAATTAAAATAGTAATGTAAATTTAAAATGCAAAACAATATGTTGCATGTATTACAAAGACATTGCATTGAATAAAAAGTTCAATAATAACCCCACGGGTTGGTTTAGTTGGAAAAGATTTGGGCCTCGGTGATGATGAAGTATCATGTCTCAGGATCAATTTCTGATAGGTGAAAATAATTCCTTAGAAGAGAGTGTGTAAATGCCAACTAGAAAAAAAATAAAATAAAATTCAATAATAAGATTTTCCTATATGTTTATGAGCCTGGTGGACCCTTAATACCAACTATTGCTTCTGTTACTACCATATATAAGATTCTTAAAATAACTTACTTTTCTAAAATAAAGCTAAAAGATAACAATCATCTCCCAAAAAAAGAACAATACTTAACATTTCTAGCAGTTTGTTAAAACACTCCTTTGAATAAAATATACACTGCCATGTATGATGTGTAAATTTTTTTTTTATCTCCAGCAATCTGTTAAGATACACTGTCACGTCACCAATATGTAAAATTATTGTGCATTTTACACTACCTTTTTATACAGTTATATTAAAATATTTCCTTTCTCCTAACTCTTTCTCATTAATCAACCTTATATTAAGTAGGTTTATAAAAATTATGTGGGGTCCAGACATGACATTGGTTGGTTGTTATTGGGGAATATATTTTTATACAAAAATATAAAACAACCGTTGGAGTTAAAAATAAATAATTCAAATTTTTTGTCTAAATCTATTATAATACATCCGATTTACACAAAAAGAAAATATACACAACGGTTAGAGATGCTCTTAGGTTCTCACTAGTGAGGATCTACACCATGCTAACCGCTGATGTGGACCAATAATAACTAGACACATTATATTTTAATTACCAAATCATAGACGGTAATCAAATCACCATCTTTGATTTGGTAAGTGGGTATCTACTCCCTACCATATTAAATTCGGTAATTAAAGATGACATGTCCATTTATTATTGGTTCACATCAACAGTGAGGATGGTGTAAATCCTCATTAATGGGGACCTAAGTATTGTTCCCAAAAAAAAATTCTCCATTGGTAAGTTTTGGAAAATATAGGTTTGATGTGACATTTATGCAGTGTTTGGTGTGCATGGATGAAATGTAATTAACCATTCCTTTATTTGGTATGCAATTTAAAGTGTGAATTACCATTCCATTAGAATGAAAATACACTCACAACTAAATCTATAGAGTGGCCATTCCATTCCCAAGTAAATATTTTCAGCTTTGTTGAAACAATTTTCAATCAGCAGAAACATGCCAACTCAAACGGTCATATCTCACTCATTTTAAATCCAAATTAGGCCAAATTTGTGTCCTAATTGAAGCTTTCGAAGTCAGCCTTCCAATGTAATTGATATTACTAAAAAATTCAAGCCATAAAAAACATTATGGCAGTTAAATGCAATCTGGTTATGAATTTTAAAAGCTAAACATTACCTATTTGTGAGATAGCCATCTCTCTAACAACTAGGACCTTATTTGATGGTTTAATTAAGTATAAGCCTTATTGACGAGAGTTTAGGAATGAATTAACATGATGTTCCGAAGGTGGATTAGGTCTTAGAGTCTTTAAGTCTACTCATGGTAACTAAAGCCCTAAAAAATGATTAATTAATTTCATGACATATTATCAAGTGTCTAAGGACATTAGCATAATATTAATTAAATTGATTCAATGTCCTTGATATCTCTACGTGTGAATATTGAGATTTTTAAGATATTTCAATTTTAAGGAACTTTCTCAATATATGACAAAGCTATGCTTTTTAAGATTGAAACAATTAAGTTCAAAACCTTTTAAAAAATTCCTAGAGACCAATTCAAATTATATGATTAATTGAAACACATGGTCCTAGTATATGTAGTTCAAGTGTTAAGTTCTTTCAAAGCTTATGAAAGCTTGAACTAACTTATCCTTACCAAATGACTTCATACAAAAAATTTGTATATAATAAAGTTCATAGCCTATTAGTAATAGTTTAAGGACTTATGAATGATATAAATGATATATAGGATCCTATAGTTCACAAGTCAAGAGATGAGTGAAGTTACTTCAAAAATAACTTTATAATTTAAGCTAGCACCACTACAAGAAAACAGTTTTTTACCACGCACTTTTTACACTCTCTCTCTCTCGCTCCTAGATCTACTCTCTCTCTCGGACCACTTCTCTCATTAGTTCTTAGTAAGTTTTGAGTCCTATTCTCAATTTTCGAACTCTATCTTCGTATTTTGGTGTTGCCATGCTTAGATCTAGAGTTCCCATGATGATTGTTGCCATTTTTGAAGCTTCGAAGCATTTGTATATATATGGATATTTTTGTATATATATGTTTTATTTTTGATTTCGATTTAGGGGGTCACATGCCTAGTTAAGTGACCAATATCGACTTGTTGAGGTGTAGAGGGACCCACGAGCTTGCTCGGGTGCCCCCCGTGTTGTCCACGTCACAGATCTATGACTTTTCGTATTTTTGCATAGTTCGATCGATCACATTTTTCTCTGATTGATTAGAGAAAGATCGATCTCACCATGTCCAGATCGATCCAACTTGGATCGTCTCATCTTTTTCCCGATCGATCAAATTTCAACACTTTGCATTTTCATATCTCTGCACCCTCCATAGTGTTCATGCTAGTTTATTTATGCCCAATGCCTATGTTTTCCACATTGGATGCATTTCATACTTATATTGTTTAGCATGCTTCACTTATCTAAACATTCACTGTCTATACCTGGCTGCATTATCACTTGCATAGATTCAAGTGATTCATTCTGAGTTGTCTATCTTAACCTGACAAACATGTTTCTATTTGTGTACTTCAATTCTTTATTTCATA